CTCAATTGTCACTCAAACGCTACGCTGTCTAGTAAATTTTTTAAATTAAATAACGCTCAAGCTTCAAGCAATAAAAATGCGTTTACATATTGCTCCATTGCGCTTTTGTTAAGACGGCGCCCGGGGCGGACCCCGTTACTACGCCACTGTGTACTCCACGATGGTTAAGTTAATATAAAAAAAAAAAAAAAGAGTTTATCAGACTTATAAAAATTTCGGATAATGGCAGAAAGAGTTTTTTGTGATTACTTTTTTACTTCTTTGTGTAATTATAATTTGACGTAAAGTAATATAAATGAAACGCGGTCAAGGTTTGTCAGAGAACTGATAATTAATCATCAACACAATCACAAATAGTAGCTATGTGCATACATGTTACATTTTGACATCTTACTGTATACATTTTGACATCTTACTGTATACATTTATGATAGTAAAAATGATTTTTGTTTTTTAAATAAATCAAAATGTCAGTAATATTTTTATTGAGTTGTTTCTAATTGTTCGATAAAAGTTTAATAATACTCGAAAATTTTTTGTGTTTTTCATGAATGCCGTTTCGGTTATTTATCTGCTTTATCTGTTCGAATGACTCTAATAAGGGTAATTTCATAATTTTATTATTCAATGTGCTTTATTCTGTCATCTAGTTATTCTTGTTATGGTAGTGGACTCTTAAATATCAGTAATAGCAAAAAGTTTTTCTCAGCTTTAAATTTTGCATCAGCTAGAACATGTTTTAGTCTCATTTTTTTTTGGATGTTTTTGTATATTGTCAAAGTTTATCTATTAAATTTGAAGCAATTTGCATATTTACGCAATACGTTTTAATATTACAAATAGAGAAGATCGGGGCTAAGTGTGACACGACATAATTGTCGAACTGCTATATTGCTTACTAAATCGTGGAAAATATTCTTTTTTATATTGTAAGTTGCTAGTATTGTTTTCATAACGTGTACGAAATAGTTTTTTTTACAAACATGATATATGATATTTACGAGCACTTTTGTAAACTGAACATGACAAGTAGATTTTTTTTCTCGATTGGTTAGTAATTTTATTGATTTTAAAATGTCTAATTGCAATTTTATCTTAGGTATAAGAAAAGTTACATATTATTACATAATATAGTGTGCAGTGTGTTTATTGTAATACTATAATTTGCATGTTACAATGTGCTTCGGTCTCCCCTATAGTATGTTTCAATATTACAAATACATTGCGTTTTAATATTACAACTACAGTGCACGGTAATTACTGTAATCTTACATTGCAAAATTTTTGAAGGCGGACATTTCAACGTTGCCGTAAGCTTGCAGTACCAGTGCAGAAATATTTCGCAACTATTCGTTAAATGTCTGTAAAACGTGGTAGTAACGTAGCGGGAACATCGAAATGTTTGCTTTTTAAGTTGCGATCCGACTTCGTAAAACCGTAAAAGAAACGTTCAGAAAAGATCACTGCAATCGTTGATGCATTCGCAACGTTTTTAATGTTTAATTTTTCATAAACTTTGTAAAATACATTTAAACTACATGCAGGTAAACCAAAAGGATATTCTCCTGGAAAGCGGGGTTTAAAGCTTAAGCTGGAGAATATCCTTTCTGGAGAATAATTTCTTGTATCAATTGCATGTATTTTATATGTATTTTACATGTATTATACGTTTATGAAAAACTAAACATTAAAAACTTTGCGAATGCATCAACAATTTTGGTAACGTTTTCTGAACGATTCTTATACGTTACTACGAAATCGGATCGCAACTTAAATTTCGAAGTTCCGGCTACTACGACGTTTAAGAGACTTTTAACAAAACGTTGCTAAGTGTCAAAAAACCCGTTGCGGAAACATTTGTGCTATGTGAGTAGTTACATCATATATGACGTATACGTGTGACGTATATAATGACGTGAACACATTAGGGGGGTATTTGGGATTTCTCATATACGAGATGCAAGTATAGCATCCAATATGAATTTTAGAATTGTTATTTCAATTCGAATTTCACGTGTAAAAATTTACATGTGAACACGTATATATATGGATATATATACACATATAATTTCCGCACAACACCTAGCGAACGGCTCCTATGACGAATATATATATTTATTAGTTTAGAAACTTCAAAGCCTGAAAAGATTCTTTAATTGTTTAATGACGTGAATGTTATGCCGTTCAGAATAACGTCAAATTTAGATTATAATCACCACTTGATGACAAAAGTAACGTATATTTATGTCATTACAACGTCAGCTGCTTGCTTAGGTATGTTTAAAACTATATTTTTTATATAATAATATTTTTATGTATCTATACATACAATCTTTAACACATAACTGTTTAAAATCAAAAAATCAAGTTGTCTCATTTTTGCTTTTAGGTGTCTTGATATTTATTTAATCGGCACAAATTTTACACGAACCGGATGAGCAGGACGAAGTATCAAATCTAGTTTAATTTTCAGATTCTTCAAAAGATCTAAAGGCTCTATGTAGAAGTGGTGTACTAAAGATGCGATCATAGTCTTCATTTCGTACATAGCGAACCGTTGACCTGCCAACGCGCAACAAATCAGAAAAACTGTTTTCTTGTCAGAAAAACAGGCAAATTACGATATTTACCTATGCAATTCCGTGGTCCCGCACTAAAGGGTAAGTAGCAATAAGGATGGCGATTTTGCATTCGGTCAGGCAAAAATCGATCCGGATCGAATACGTCCGGGTTTGGCCAGAAGTTAGCATCTCTATGGACGTCATAGATATTAAGGTGCAAAATTGTGTTAGCTGGAATCGTATACGACTCTATACAAGACAAAAAAAAATATATATATATATATATATATGTGCGTGGACATTACAGTAATATGCAACGTACCGTAATCTATGACTTAAGTAATAACATGTTACAAATCCGTATACTCTATCACTAATACGTACGACATTGTATCTCTTCTGAATTAAGGCGGGATATGAAATGTACACTGGGATACAATCGCATCACTTCTTTTAAGCATCTTTCTAAATACGGTAGCTTTTGTAAGGACGCCATAATCAATTTGCCTTCAGTTTCTTTCATCACATCAGCAACTTCAGTCCTGACACGATCCTATATATTATTAAAAGTTGTGTTATTTTGCTGATTTAATTATAATAGTTTTGTATGAAAGTTCGGAAGTTTCTTCTAAAAAATATATTGTTTTACTAAGTTTGTTAAACGTATATATAAAGAAAGATATGTCACAAATAAAAAGCGATCTGACTAATATAAACTGTAGTCTTCATTGATGGTGTTCACATTTCGCGCAGTTTTATTTATATATCACAAAGTACCTGAACATCCTTGTGCTCAGCTAGTAAAAGTAAAGCAAAACACACACCCATTGCCGTAGTATCGTGACCCTGTAATTACAGTATCTATTTGTCAGTAATTACATGTATCTGAACACTATAAAAAACAACTTAAGCGCATACTACACGTATACATGCCTCGAACATGAAGGTGTCGACTTCCTCTCTGATGTCCAAATCGGTTATATTATTTTCACGAGATGCCGCTATTAGAAGATCCAACATAGCGAGTCGCTTTTTACGAACTAAGTTAAAAAATATGTACAGTTGCATCACGCTCCTAATTTTATAGGTTTTTGTATACATTTTACTATATTTTATGCAAATACCGGTAAAATTGCATTTTTTATATTTGTATCAGATCTCAACAAACAATAATATTTGATTGTTTTACGTACTTCCGATCACTTCTACATCATCTGTTTTTGTCGATATACCAGTTTCAATGCTTTTTAAATATTGGTACTGTGTTCGTTCGTGATATAGTTTCCTTTCTTTAATGACCTATATATGAATAGAAGAAATACATTGTAATATTGTTGATGTTTTGTTATACATGCATTTATAATCTTGCGTATTGAAAAGTAAGTTATTATGCAAATATATTTTACAAACTTTTTCAGTAAATCCATGTAATATTTTCAACGTTTTGGCTTGCTGTCTACCTGTTGGAGATAATGCAAACGACCATTCGGGATACAGCCAAGGAGATTGTAATCTGCACATCATAGTCACTTTAAATCTATAGACATTCTAATTTAATATATAGATTGCTTTAGAAAAAATTAAGT